GGGCAATTAAATGGCAACTGAAAGTTACTTTGTTCTTAAACTTGGGAATGTGGCTCCCCAACCCACCGGGCCATACTCGCACATGCCAACATTGCCGTTTATCCTGGGGTTGTTATTCTCCTCAGATGTGTTACTACAGTAGAGCGTCTCACCACTTCAAGCTTCTCTAACAACTCGTCAGTTAATGTTCATAAATACACAAACAACGCCTCTTACCACTGATTATAAAAATAATATCTATGAATTAATTTTTTAAACACCAGTTATATACAAGTTCCCATTCATAAATATTTTCTATTCCATTGGTTTGTGCTCAAACCTTGATAATGTTGCAATACAGACCTCTAACATTTGCTTGCTGGCCTACGTATGTGCTGCGTATGTTGCATTTGTAATTGCATTTTGTAACAAGCTAGTGGATGGACAGACAGACACTTTTTACGTACGCACAACTTTATAATGAGAGCTGCTTTTTGACAGGAGCGATTCAGTTCTGAAAGCACTCCCAAATACTCTCCTGTTATGTTGGTTTCCAGGAACAGCAGTTATGCTCCTGGGTTAATTTGACCCGGGACAAATTTACTCATTCAAAAGTGTCAAACACTGGCATTGATTATTTTACAATTTTCTTTTAAAATTGATTTTTCTCGTTTTCTGTAGTGATGCAGATGACATGTGACATTCTCTTCTGTTCTGGGTGAATCTGACCCGCAACATAACAGGAGGGTTAACCTGCAGCTCACTAACCTTGTTTGCGCCCCCATTATTTTAGCGTTTTGCCTGACTGTCCTTTGGAGCCCCTAATGGGGTTTCGTGCTCTTGTATTAACAGTAAAATAATGTCCAGTGTCAGTTTTTACCGTTTACATTGTTGAGTATTGATACTTTTAAAAATTGGTGACCTATAACTACTTTTTCCACTTGTGGTCCAATCCAATACATTGTTACGGGCATTTGTATACATCTGGTACAAATTCATTACCAGTGCTAAAATATGAAGTCCCCGAATCATTTTATGGGCAAAACACAAAGTTCAACTTAATTATTTTACTAAATAACAAAATCAAAGTGTAACAAAGGTCTTTAAGATGACATCACTTATGCATTTGCTTTTATTTAGGCCAAAACTAAACAGGCCGAGGATAAATACAGTGAAAGAAAAACAGCAAGTTATTTTTCCCCTTACCGAGTCTTTCGACTGCTGCATCCTGCTGTCATGTACAGTCACCATATTCTCCTTTTCTTGCGCCTCAAACCTGCGTTGGTGTGTGGAGCTGACAAGATTCAGCTGAAGTCAAATTATATTTAATGGTGTCACCACAGCATGCTGTGTTACTATAAGTAAAAGCTTCCCAACAGGTGTTCGAACCAGCATCCATCAGGCTTCTGCTGATGGATGCGACTGAAAGGAAAAACACGACTACTGTTGGATCTTTTCAGCCATGTCCACTTGCTTCACTACAGTTGGCAGTTAAGTAAAAAGAAAACCTTGTTACTCCCAACATTAGTCTGCTTTAGCCAGAACACTGAAACCTCACAACTGTCCAAACAAGTCTAATCATTACTTTGTCACATTCAACATGATCTGCTTTACACTGGGTCAAAATGTAGTCCACAGGCAATAAGATATGTTTATTGTCAAATACACAGAGAAGGGTTTGTCTTCAATTTATCCAACGCGACCTGGCTGCTTAGTATTCCAAGACATTCTAGTTCTCATTTGTCCCATCTGGGAAGCCATACACTGATTTGCAGTTACTCTGAATGGATAACAGCAGGTGGTCAGCCAAGTCTTCTTTAACAGTGGTTGTATTATACAAAGTTATTTCAATGTTTGAACTGATGCACAGGGGGATGAATTAGAGATTTAATTCCTTTTCATTCATTTCACTGACGACTTTACAGTGGAATTTCTCTCCATTTTATAGGCCTAAAAGTCTTTTTTTTCCCCCCACTTCACCCACTTTGTCTTTCTAACTCTGTAGGAATTCGGTTTGAGCCTTAGCAACACCTAACAGCCAACGGCTTGGAACAACTAATGCTGAAACGACTCCCCAACGGGTCCCGCTCATGTTTTGGCAGAGAGCACCAAACATCCCCTCACAGGAGTGCAGAAGGGATTGGCCCCAACTCTAAGATGTTGCTTTTCTGCTGGTTGTTACTTTCGTATCGTTTTCAGGTTTGTGCACTGAACCTGCTGAGCTGAAATACTGCAGTGGGAGGAAAGGGACTATACCAGACACACGACTGCTCATTGTGAAAACTCAGAGCTGGTGCGCAACCCTGTCAGACACCTGAGATGCTCTGCTGCCCCAGCAAATCTCACTCCAAACACTGACAAAAGAAGTGTGGACACCCCGTGTTCCAAGTTAAATTTAGTGCCTGGTTCCATAATTGTAACATTCACCATTTGCTTGCGTTTTCCACCCACTCCCCCCCCATCATGTTGAAAGTCATGTCTGTAACAAGTTCAACACTGTCTAACTGTAAAGTCATTATTTTAGTCCATTTATTGCAATAATTTAAACCCCCACAACAAAACTCAGTTCATTCCAACCTTCACTGTCATGCAAGTCGAGTTCTAGGTCACAGAAATGACAATAGGAATTCTCAGCAAACAGGGACTTTAGGACTAAAATGTAGTTTGATTTTCTGCTTTAAAAATATCAAAGGAAGGGTGTTGATGTGTGCCAGACGAGAGTTTGTGTTCTTTTACAGCAGCATTCATGAGCTATACTTTCTGCATTTTTATCATCTGCAATCCAGATTTTAAAGCTGCAGTGAAACCACTTTCATCTCCACTCTGATGTTTATCTATACACCTGAGGAGACACCAAAGTCCATTTGTCATTAACGCAGCACAGTGGAGGCAGCACAGAGAAGTGATTCATTGAAGATCATCATCATGAGTCATCCCTGATTTCAACAAGCACCTTGGTGAGACCTCATATCACAACATTTAAAGCACAGCAGCTTTCCCATTTACACAACTTATTTATTTGACAGTACTGCTTGTAGGGGGACTCCTCCCTCACTGCTTTCAAGTACCTCGCTGAATTTCTGCAGCAGCATGAGCGTCTGTTATGAACAGCAGGAAGACTTTACCATTCACTTTGAGGAGCTTATAAAAAACCCAGTTTGACCTCATGGAAAGCTTATTAACGTTTATAAATGTGCTCTAGCATGAGTAAAAGCAACTGTGCTTGAAAATACAAGTTCAGCCACAGTTTTAGCTTCCCACAAAGGGCAGGTATGACACTTTAACCAGTTAAAATCTGTAGAAAGCTCTGCATCGGGAACATCTTGCTGCACTATTTGAATACATTTCAATGTGCAATTGAAATGTATTCAATTTCATTAAATGTAGGCCAAGATTTTTTTATTTTTTTTAATTAGTACTTTTGAACTTCCATTGTGTTGGTTTTTGGGGCCTAGAAGTGACCATTTATGGAAAAGTGTGTGGACTGTTATCAGCAAATGCTATCAGTGCTTCAACAAGCCACATCCATGAAATCTTAAACCAGCTAATTAGTGCAGAGTAAGAAACTTTTAAATCAATTTAACTCATTACAACTGAAGCACAAACTTCACCAACAACATCAAGCCATTAGTCACTTTAAGACATTAAAATGCACCAAGACTCACAAATGACGACAAAACAGTTTCTGTACCAGGCTGCAAACATGCTTTTAATACTGTAAAAGGTGGGCCTCAAATGGGCATTACAGGACCAGCAGCAGGAGAAGCTGCTCCTCGAGCCAATGCAAACCTAATACTGTACCAGGCAGCAAACCAAACATGCAAACTAACATGCATACACATTTGATCATGGGTGCTTCAACTGTCAACTCTAATCTTAGAATTCATTTCATATTTTCACTTCGTTTTTAATGCATGGTCTGGGATCCCACTCACTACCAGTTATTGGGAAGCAGCTTTAGCTTTCATGCACCAAGCTGCTGGAGCAACAGACTAACTGATAACACATTTAAAGACTAGCGTTTAAAACCACACAAGTCAGACGAGCCATCACTTTTACATCAAATTTGGGTTTTTGAAATCATCGTGTGTCATTTCTATCGGTCTATTGTTGCCTTTATCATCTCTGGTTATGATTCTATTATTAATTCAGCTAATTACACTTATCAATTCTGTTTTCCATAATTCATATAGTACAACTTTTGCTTTTTGGGGTGACAATGGACTTCCACCTCAACTAAAATGTGGTATAAAAATAACGTTTTGCTTGCTTGCTATAAGTGTGATGCGTGCTTGTGTCTGCCCCGACCCCATAGGAGGAAGGCCTACATCCTTGTGGCTGATGTGAGCCAGTCACAAGGATGTGAGCCAAAGAAGGCTGGACAAACAATTTTTAGGTCAGTTTATCCTCGCTGTTTTTTTGGGGGCTGAACCTACAGTTTCCACTGCAGTTTGTTTCTTTCACAGAATTAAAGTATCTCATGCTGCTTGACCTCTTGAGAGAGATGTGTATACAAGCTCAGGTTTCACACGTTAATGTTCATGATATTGTTCCTTGTCGTTAATCTTAATCTGTGTGATGGCTGCTGTGCAAACCTGTGAATGAACCCATTTTCCTCCAAGTAATTTATAAATTAACAGGAGTAACCGACCTGCATACAGCAGTGTTCTCTCCAGCGGCAGATACAGCAGGAACAATAATCAATCTTGCAGCATGCAAACCTTTTACTCAGCACTAAAAAGACTTCAGTTCTGGGGCTCTCACTGTGCGCCATCGAGGCTGATTATTTAGACCCCAAGACCAATTCTTTGCCCCATTGATCTTATAATAACCGTACTCCTAACTGCTGGGGAAAACTAAAAGCACTACCCCCTTCCTGTTTCTGTTACAGCCAAGCCTAGATTTTCTTAAAAGATTTACATGGGGTTGCAGACCGAACAGCACATTGAAATGACCACCACCACGTTAAAGTTGGTGACATTTCATATTGATTGCATTGTAAAATTTACAATAAAGTAAGGTTAATCTAATGAGATAATCAGGCGTTTAGACAATTACATTCTTACAAACTGAAAGTTTCCACTTTAACAGCTTACAGGTTCAAAACTAAATTCTTACCGAAAGATTCATATTTACTTTAGTTGCACATGTAACACTTGACTGTTGGTGTAGCGCAGCGTTCATCGAAAATCATCTACTTACGGCAGATGTCCAAGCTCTCATCAGAACCATCTTCACAGTCGGGCTCCCCATCGCAGTGCCACCGCTTCGGGACACACTGCCCATTGTCACACACAAAGTCCAACTCCGCACAAGTCTTTTTAACTGAAACATGGGAGAGAAAATGAAATCACTGTTTGAATGAAATGTCTCACATTATACAAAGAAAAACACATAATATCAAGGGAAAGATCAAATCCATACTAGCACACTTCATGAATATGAATTCATTTTTGCTCCTCTCCTGTGAAAAGGTCACCAGTTTACAACCTGTTCTGATTAAGCAAGATTCAAACACTACATTTGCATAAGGAATGCAGTCGAAACAGTCCTCGGGAGGTTTGAGTGTCTCGCTCATTTTCCATCAAAGGGAGACTTGAAGACAAAAATAAAGTGTCATTTTTATTTGGTTGTAGGTCTGTTCTGGGACCTCACAACCCTTCAAACAGAACAGAACATATCAGTGACAGTCATGAAAAGGAAGCAGCTCTCACACTGCTTTAGCTTTACAGATTTATTGCACCACAAACATTTTGACATTTCAAGCACCGCTGCCTTTTAGACTATACAGTGATGCAATCCTATACTGAAGCTACATGCCCCACCCCCCAAAAAAAAAAAAAAACAAAAAAAACCTGCCAACACATGTTTAAACCCAAATCTTCATGGTCCAACTAGAAACTACATTAGTTCACTTGTGTTTGAAGACAGCCAAGCACAATAGATGCGTGCTATAGCCAAAGAACCATGAATGCCCAAAGCCTGTAAATGGTTGTGAACGACTGGCTTGGTGGTTCATTCCTTTCCACTTTTATTTTATTCTCCATTAATATCAATAAAGTGCTAAAACCATTTAAAGCCACGAGCTTCCCCCCCCCCCATTTTAGTGACCATATAAACATAAGGTTTACAAAACTAGGTAATAATAATGTAATAATTTACAGGTCTGTCAACTTCTACAAACAGTATATATGCATAAGAGCACTCAGAGTGCAACTTTACCCAAAGGGCGAGGGTTATAATAAAATGTGATTTTTTTACGTTGTTAGCATTGTTAATATGGAAATTAGAATGACAAAGACGCTGGCATTGGCACAAATGCTCTATGAAAACAATGCAGATGTCATTAATGGGGACGCCATAACACGTATAAAAATGTTTTACAATCTTCGTTTGAGCTCATTATGCTCCAAATAACTAATATTTCTTTAAGAGGTTTGGAGAATATCCACTTCCTCCCCAATTCGTGTGACCCTGACCCTTGACTGAAGCATTACATACCAAAAGGGTGAATTTTATCTTTACGATTGGAGCAGAACTAGCTGAAATCTTGGGCATTCGATTTTGACCTTGGCTGCAAACAATGAATTTCAAGGTCAAATGCTTAGGCCTTGTGGGACATGAGTACCTAGGTCGGCTATTTGTTATTAGCCTCTACATCACAGTATTTGAAAATGTTTGTGTAGCATTCAGTTTTTAAGCTAGACTGCAAACAGACAAACTAAACGATCACATACTCCCTTTGGAAGGAGAATATTGTTCCTAGAATTTCACTTAAAGTCTGGAGTATAATCGTTTACTTGTCCTTTTGCCATGTTAATTATGTGGTTACACCTTGGACTTTCATAACGCAACCTTTAAATTATTCTCGGTAACATTCTTACATTAAAAAGGAAAATACACCTTTATGCAAGTGCAGTCTCCAGGCTATGTTGGATTGTTGAATCTCATAAACCAAAGTTTCAAAGAATCTGATAGGAAAGACAAGAAATTTGGGGAAGATGTTAATTTCTCATGTCTGGTAGAAAAGACAAAGGTTTCCAAGAAAACTTGTGAAACAACAAACTCCAACACTAGCATCTCTACTGGAGGCTCACGAAAACACTTCAGCCCTCTTCACCGTCTGACCAGAATACAAATACAGACTTCAGAACCAACTCCAATTTGAAGCTCATGACAACAGCCAGCCACAGTGGGACTCATTACCAAACTCTTCTTTTATTAATTAAATCTGGATTCTCATCTTTCACGCATCAGTGAGCCTCAGTTCAGTCTGGGCTGAAAGTAAAACAGCTCTGATCTCCCAGAGAGAATAACAGTCTGAGACTCAAATACAACAACACGTCAGCAGCTGAGAGAGCGTGAAGGAATAAAACTAATTTTTAGTTTTCAGTTTACCATCACTGTTCACAAAACCAGTCATCTGCTTCTGTTCTAACTGGCTATAAATAAAACCCCAAATCTTCCCTGCAGTCACTCTCGATGCTGTGTATAATGTACACTTCCACAAAACCCGTTTGAAATAAAGTTCCCAGTCTAATTAAAGTTGGCCATCAGGAAATCCTGCAAAACATTGTTGGGAATCAAGTATGGTCATTTAGAGAGTGCTAAAGCACAGTACTGTATACTGGTAAACCTACACGCTCTTAAAAAGGAACAATATAATCGTTCCATCTCAATTATCTTGTTTTAATTGTTGGAAGCCATAATTTCAATTAACAGCAAAGCCCTACTTCCTCTCCCATCATCCCTTGTTTTTTTTTCCTCCCTCCTAGCACCATCACATGACCCAGATAGATGAAAGTATAGGAGACACACACACAGCTGTAACTATATTTAGCTCTGCTCTATGTGCCACCTTGACATCACTAGGTCATCATGTCCCAAGGGAACCTAGCAAAGCTCCTGATGGGGACTGAGCCAACATGGCAGGTTCTGAATGTCATGAGATTATATTCATGTGTGCAAATGTTAAGAGGAGGAGAATAAGCCATCAACTCCACTCTTAAAACTCAGTTAAGGGTACGAAAGGAGTGGTCGATGTGATTCGAATGCATTTATCTGCATCAGACAAAATGTGTGCAGCATTCGTCAGGTCCTTTTATGACTTAAATACTGGTGGATCAATTTGAACCTCCTACGTCGCTTTATTCAAGTTCTTACTTTCAAACTTGGGTAGGTGGGCACCATGGATGCCTACCTACCCATCTAGCATGGTGACGACAGTCTTTATGACCGAGGGGTAAAAGGCAATTTTGAGGGATTTTTAAACACAAAATGCACGTAATAAATTGATGGGATAAACAATCTTTCATTTCAGTTTTAAGAATGAAAGCAGTAATCAGCAGGTGTAATTAAAAAATATATAATTATAATCTTAATACATAAAAAAAAATTAATAATTAAAATGAATTCAAATCTGGCACCCTGTGAGCTGACCTTTACAGACAGCTCAGACTCCATTTCCTGCTTAATTTACATGTTGTTCACATTGGCAGGAAAACGTGTTTAATTGCAAGCAAGGAGGACTGTCGTTCAGCCGCCCACACTCCAAAAGGCCACAAATGGTGTAAATAATTCGTTTCCAGCCCAGTTACAGCAAGAGAGACATAAATGGCAACTGATCCACAGAGCAGTGCAGACAAGCTCCAGGCAAACATTGACACTGAGGGCTTTCAGGAGGTGAGCAAGTAAGGAAGAGACATTCTCATTAGACTCCGATGACAAAAATAAAAATCAGTTTGTTAATCCATCTGATTTTTGACTGTTACACTGTCTGTGGTCTGTATTGAGAACAAGTGTCTTCTGAGTAGTAAAAAGAAAAAAAGTCAGTTGTTTAGAAAGCTCAGATGCGTCATGTTCACACCTCAAAACTAAAAAGTAAAATTGAAGTTTGGTCAGGGATATCAGCAACTCCTACTTTCATGAATAAGAGTCAATAATGAATTAAGCACAAAAAGAGCAATTCTAATCATTTACTCCCCCCGGTTCCACGCTAACACTGACCTGACTGTGGGACCAACAAATTTATTCTGGCTTATTAGTTTCACTCCTCACCCATGTAATGCATTTGATGGATTATGTTAACTTCACATGTTTACATTTCCGATGGGACTGACATAATCTGTACGCCAACCAAATCCAGAATCAGTTTTGTTGTGTTGTTACAGAAGTGAACTGAGGCGGTGACATTTAGGCCACCAATTCATCCTTCCATGAGCAGGATGGCATGTGGGAGTCAAAATAAACTCTCACGTGTTCAGAGTGATAAAGGAACATGTCACCAAGTATATTTGGCACTATGATATATTTTTACACATTTCTCAATAACCATAGCTCTAAAGCATAAAGTAAGATGCTTGTATAACTGGAGCCTGGCAGACTAAGTGTTACCAACACAATCACTTCATTGGGGATTTAAAAGATTTGATATATTTAACTCCAGTAATATCTGGACATCTACAATTCCCAGCTCTGTATGTCAGCACAATAGATTTAAAACTTAACAAGATGCAGAAAACCTGTTTTGGACTCTTTAATGGTCAAAGATTGAGCCAATTTGATGATGGACTCTGAAGCTTCTTGGACACATACCTGACAGTGGGCAGGTAGCATCCCAGGAATGTAGTTGCACATTCCAGAGACTGAGACCTCAACTACTGATGGGTCTATTTGGTAGCAATATGCAGTGTAAACTGTATTACTGATCACTGGAAGGACAAGAACTGCATGAAAAGCATCAGTCACTTGTTCACTACTCTAATAACCAGGATTCTGACAGTGTCTACGAGACATTTCTCATTTTCACAGCTCTGACTTAAAAATCAGTTAAAAGTTCTTAGTAAAGTTAACAGTGAAAGCAGCTCAGCTTCACTCATAACAAGAATACAGACAAGTGTGCAGGTATAAATGTAACCTGTGTTAACGCGATCTAAGCACAGAACCAACCCAGCTACAGGCTGCAGCACTCTCAGAAAGTGTCTCCGAAAGAGTGTGGGTGATGAACGTAACCACTCGACATCACCAATCCTTTTGTTCACAAAGTCGTGCTGTAAAATCTCAAGTTGAGCACATTTGCAATCTTTGTGTTTGAAACCTTTGAGTCCACCAAGGACTAATTTACAAAATGATCTCATCATAAACTTGGAAATAAGGACTCAGGACAGCAAAGCATTCATCAAGGTCAGAGCAAGGGAGCCGAGGTCTGTTTCAAAGATTTCTATAAATGTCCACAGTGCTTGCTGGTCATTAGAAAACTAAAAAGTCTGAAGCCAGAAAACCACATTCATCTTTTATAGTCTACAGAGTTGGTACATTCTGAAAATATCCCTTTTGCCTCAATAAAAATTCCTTCAGAACATGCAGTCAAGAGAGGAACCCTCTCTGGGAGGCACGCGGATCATTATCCAAGTCTGTCAAGGAGGAGAAGAAGAAAAAAAAAAACTTCACGAGAGCACAGTTCACCACAGGGTACAAAACCAGTAAGTTTCAAAATAAGGCCATTGCCAGAATTTGTCAAAATGCATATCTAAAAGAATAATGCAGGATTAGCTCCAAAATGGCATTGATTTTAGAGATGACAGAAGATCAGTCAGCACAAGCATAACTGGAACTAGTAAGCACTGCGGAGGCTTTGAATGGGCATGATATGAACTATACAACAGCCTCATTAGAAAGATAGTGGAGGCATGTCTATGTGATGCATGGGCATGTGCAGCATCGTACAGAGAAGCTGGATGAAGTCTGATGTGCATCAGAACATTTAGCTCAGATTCAGCCAAATGCAGTAAAGTAGTTTGGACAGTGCCTCTCAGTACCAACCAATAACCACCCAAAGACATATAGCAGCTTAAGTGGAATATTCTTCAGTGTCCAAGTGCAATACATTTCTTCAACTACTTAAATTAAAGTTTAGAGTGTGCACTTCAACTCCATCTCGATCATTTCCACTGTGGTGGTGTACAGAGGTAAGATTGATGAATTTTCTTAAATACACTTTAGCCAGTTTTCAGAATCTGGCATTAGCTATATTCAAGAGATCTTCATCCAAAGAACACAGATGAGAATTTGTGTGTGGCAAAGGTAAATTACATTTCCTGACATATGCAAAGGTCTGATGACCTGAATGTAATAATCTATTATAGTCTGGGACACTTGGAAACCATTTACTTCAGTGATTCGCAACTGAACAAATCTGGCCACGTGCATTAGTCTTAGTCCTTCACACTTCAAGTTGTTGGCATGGCTGTGTGACAGCAGAGTGTTTTCCTCACCACATGAGTTCTCGTCGCTGCCGTCGCTGCAGTCCTCATCTCCGTCACACTGCCACACGGACGGGATGCAGCGACCGTTTCCACACTGAAATTGATTGGCTTCACATTCTGTCTTCGTACCTACAGAGGACGACAAAGACAGTTTGAGAGAGAGAGAAGAAGAAAAAAACAAAAACAAAACGCACAACTTATTATAGTCCCAAATGTTTCCACAAATAATTTGGTGTCTGGGATGTCATTTCCATTTTGTTTTAGTTCCATCAAGGTTCGCTCCAGTGCTTAAATCTCCTTTTAAAGAACATTAGTTGCCACATATTTTGAAATTCACAGTAACTTGTTTCACAATTCAAACTTCAACAACTAAAACGTAACACTAGTATTTCACAAAGAAATGACAATTTCATGTCAACTGGAAAACATGTTCAACAGTAAACTGAGTGGTTGTTGGGCTTTGCAACTAACAGTTTAATTACAGCAACAACTTTGACTCATCGCTTAAGATAACAAATTGTGCTCGTTTTAACTTCACCAATACGCTCCTATTTTGTCTTTAAGTACAGTGGAGCCTATCCTAGCCGTCTTGGGGTGAGAGACAGGTCGCCAATCTGTCGCAGGGCACAGACAACCATTCGCACTCACATTCACTACTGCAGGCAATTTAGAGTTACCAATTAACCTATCCCCATTAGGACTGGGCCATATCATACCGTTCACGGTAATACTGGTATAATTTTGGGCAACGATAGGAAAATGAAATATCGTGATAGAATATGGGTAAAACGTGCATGCGCAGTGCCTATGTTTTGATACATACATGGCAGAAAAAGCGTGCCGGCAATGCAGAATGAGAAAGGCGAAAGCGGATCATTGAATGAAACTGATGAACTTGAATTAGTTTGTAAAAATGCTGCAACT